ATATTAAAACTGGAGCCAGTCTGGGCAGAGGGATAGCACCCTCCCCACGTGCCTGCTCTCCATCTCCTCTCATTGACAGCTACCACCCTCGTGGCAGTGACACATTCCGTGGAAATCAGCAACTTGCTGCAGAGTTAGAATTGGTTGTGCACCTGCTACATGTCAGCAGCATCATATCACCTTCACATACATTTCTTTCGGGCTTCATAATGACCCTAGGGTTTCCACATTTCATGGAGGAAGAAACTGAGGCTTGGTGAGATTAGACAGTTTACCCTGCTAGAAAGCAATGGATAAGGAAGTGAACATAGGCACCCTGTCTCTGGCATCCACACTCTCAGCCCTGGCGTGGCTGCCTGCCCTGGAGATCAGCTTACCTTTCCTTTCTAGGGTGGATCTCCGTGTCTCTGGGAGGAGTTGTTGGCGGAGGCCTAGCTGTGCACCTGACACTGGGCAAACTGCAATAAATATTCATTGCATTAAATCTCAAACAATGGGATTTATCTTAACTGTTTGCAAATACCCTGACAAATTTCTACTTTATAAATCATAGTCTGTAACCATATTAATCCTCCCCTGAACAGCACAAAAGTAGGTGGCCAGGTAAAGACCTTTTGGCACTGTTTTAGCCTCAGTTGCCCTGAGAGCAGAGTCTCTTTTGATAAGTGGCCCAAGAAAACAGGAAGGGGGGAACCCAGGAGAGAGAAACACAGGAGGAAGGGCAGCTGATTCAAAGGTGAGTTCTGAGTTGGATACAACTATGGGCCACAGGGACTCTGTCCCAGCAGGATTCTGGGTACCAGGAAAAGACAGAACAGCATTTATCCATAGGTTCCATCCTCCACTGGTCACGGGTTGCCCCCTGGGGTACCAATGCCCCTCACCTCCCAGGCTGCACCTACAGGTGTCCCGAATCCAGGAAGCCTGGGCAGAAAGTGAGAGGTACTTGTGGAACTAAGGCAAGGCCCTGGCAGATCACATCGCTAGAGAAGTAGGTAGACGAAGAGGATATGGGGCCACCACAGATAGTATCCAGTACAGGCCTTGTGTGGGCTTGAAGTCTTCAGGGGACACGGCAGGTGCTGGGCTGGAGGGAGGGCAGAGGTACTGGTTGGAATGCCAGATGGTACTGGGAGGTCTAGCCTAGCCCTATTTCAGAGATATTTGGAAAGTGCATTTTTTTTTTCACTCTCAAATCAACAAATTGGAAGTCTATTCAAATTAAAAACTTCCTTTTAAAATGCAAATAAATGAGAGAGGCCAAGGTTCATTCTACAGGTCATTCAAACCTATTGTGAGTGCTTTAATGAGATTGTCTGGAATCACAGGGAGTCCAGCCAGGAAGCATCAGCTTGGGTGGAAAATAATAGGAGAGGGATAAAGAAGTGTAATAAATGACTGTCGTACCTGGTAAATGTGAAGTAGGGTGCTTCTTGGGCTGAAACCGTGGCCACCCCTTGGAAAGCCTATGTAAATGTATCCGGTGGCCTGAGCAGCGACGTGGAATATACCACTGTACATTAGTATTAAGCCTGCTTTTCTTGAGCTGTCTTCTGAGAAGTATAAAAATATACTTGGAAGGGGCAGATGACACATTCCTTATAACTTCAGAAAAGTTTTAGAAATCTCAGTCTTGTTTACAATAAGCACTTTTTGTTTCCTGGGGAAAGCACTGGGCTATGCAGGTAACTTGGAGTTTGTCAAAAAATGACCTCAGTTTTGGGGCGCCTGGGTGGCGCAGTCGGTTAAACGTCCGACTTCAGCCAGGTCACGATCTCATGGTCCGTGAGTTCGAGCCCCGCGTCAGGCTCTGGGCTGATGGCTCAGAGCCTAGAGCCTGTTTCCGGTTCTGTGTCTCCCTCTCTCTCTGCCCCTCCCCCGTTCATGCTCTGTCTCTCTCTGTCCCAAAAATAAAAATAAACGTTGAAAAAAAAAATTTTTTTTTAAAAATGACCTCAGTTTTTAGCAAGTTGGCTTTCAGAACATGGGTAGGGTGCAGGGGGGAGGCAGGACAACAGGATCCCAGGCTCACCCTTCCCAGAAAACATTCTGCTGGAAGAGCTGCGGTCACTGGGCACGGGAGCAGGGAGAGCAGCTGGCACCCTCCACTAGTAGTAATTACAGTACTCAATGGTGGCACACTCTAATAGAACACGTGTTGATGCCAGGCGCTGTTCCCGGTGTCTTATATGTATTAACGAAGCATGAAATAGGTCCTATCATTATCTGTACTTTACGCGTAAGAAACTGAGTCACAGAGACACAAAGGAACTTGTCCAGGGTCACACAGCTAGTAAATGCACAGCAGAGCTGTGAATCACATTCAGGCCGCCAACCTGCTGAGTCCCACTCTTGTGAGTCCTGACCATAGACATAGTCAGGGAGACCCATGTGACTCCATTGTTGGGGAAAGTCCGGGACTAGGAGGCAAACACCTGTGAGCACACCAAGCTCAGCGCGCCTGGCAGAGGGGGTGGGGCTGGGGGAAGCCCATGGCATCCTGGGCGTTCACGTTTTTCCAGCAGAAGCCCAACAGAGAAGAAACCCTGGATTATATTCCCTGTGGAAAAGTAGGAATGTGAGCCCTGTAAGGACCTGACTCTTCTTGTCTGCCTTGTGTGGAGGCATGGTTGTGCTTGTGTGCAGTGTGTCCCAACACTTCCCCTCACATGTGCGGCCGCCTTGGTCCAGGTCCCCAGCGAGTCTCACTGGGGCTGCTGCAGTGCCTCATCAACGGTTTTATTCTTGCTCCCTTCTGTTTAGCAGACACCATGATCTGTCGGAAATGTCAACGAAGGCATGCCACCCCTTGGCTTAAAATGTTTTAGTGGCCACCCATTGCACTTTCAGTAAAATCTGAGTCTCTTGCCCTGGCCCAGGGAGGCCATGCACCTTCCTCTCTCACTCTGACTTCACCTCCTGTCCCTTTCCCCATTCCTCTTGGTGAGACAGTCAAACTGGCTCTATTTCCGGGCAGCCCTAGGCCTAATGAGAGGCCTTTCCACAGCCACCCGTCTTGCCTGGGGCATCTGCCCAGCCCTCAGCCCGGCTGGCTCCCTCTCACTCCCTGCTTTGGTCTGTTTAATTAGGTGCAGATCTGAGTCAGTCCTTCTGTTAAGTATGCAGCAAGTCGTCACGAGGAGACCATGCAAGGCTCTCCCCTCCTTCCCTGAGAGATTATTTGCCTCTCCTTCCTGAACCCTCGCTCTCATCCCCCACTCCCCACAGAGGGATCTTGATTGGCTCTAAGGTCCCCTCGGGAAGAATGTTGTGATGTTTCTCCTGCATGTTTTCCGTGTACATAAAAGGCATTTTCATTCTGTTTCCTGCCTTTTTTACTCAACAGTACGACTGACTTCTGGAGCTAACCACGTCTCTGTTCCTCCGGCCCGCTGCTTCTTAGTGCTCTGTGGTAATCCAGAGCAATCATTCCTAGTAGCGATGCCTGCCCCCCACCCGCCCGCCCAACTCCCTCCTGTTATAAACATTATTGTAATAAGCATTCTAGAACACATTCTCTTATGGACCTGAGCACTGTTATTCAGTGGAACAACATCTAGGAAAAACAGTAGCCTCCAGCAATCTGTATCTACACTGCAGACTTGAGTTCAGTGTGCTTAGGAGCCACACAAAGACCTGAAAATGGGGGCATGTTCCAAGCTTGTCTGCTGGGCTAAGAAAGCTCTCTCTTGGCCCTGTTACTGCTCACATTTCTAGGAAGCTGGCCTTCTCTCTTCCCCACTCCAGCCACAATGCCCCCGCTACCTATTCACGCCACTCCCCCTTCTTATGCCCTCACTGTCCATCACTTAGACTCTTCAGGCTTACCTAAGGATGGTCATTTTCCCCTTGGCTGTTGTCCGCCCTGACGCAGGAGCAGCTTCTCATATGCAGGGAACGAGGATCTAATACAGGTTTAGCAGTAATTGTGCGGAAGAAGAGCATCTAATTGAGATAGTCTTGTCATTTTCTTAAAGGTCACCTCCCTTGTGCAACTTCCTGGGCAGTTTCTGAAGCCTCATTTTCTGGGGTATTTTTTTAATGTTTGTTTATTTTTGAGACAGAGACAGATCATGAGTGGGGGAGGGGCAGAGAGAGAGGGAGACCCAGAATCCAAAGCAGGCTCCAGGCTTTGAGGTGTCAGCACAGAGACTGACACGGGGCTCAAGCTCACAAACCATGAGATCATGACCTGAGCTGAAGTTGGACGCTTAACCGACTGAGCCACCCAAGTGTCCCCCGAAGCCTCATCTTAATGGCCTGATATTCCTGAGGTCACGTCCCTCCATGTTCTGCCCTAGAAAGAAGTCAGCACCGTCCCCTCCCCTGCTTCCAACCCTTTGTTTTATTGGTTAGTTCAGATTCTTCGTCTTGGCTCCAAAGCTTGGCTCCAAAGCACAGTCTGGGAGCCATGCTGCCCTGGCTGTCCCGTGTAAAGTCCCCGAGTGGGGCTCAGGATGTGGTGTCCGCAGTCTCAAGTTCATTTCTTTAGCAGAAGAACAACTAAGCCAACATGAAACAAGGAGGCTTTTTTTGATTTCTGGGACAGCTGCCTCACTTCGATTGAATTATATTGAAATAACTTAGGTTTTAGGGGGATCAAATGAAGAATGTTTTCTGAATGGATTCAAAATCAGCTTCTGTTTGCTTGAAGATTTACGGGAGGTTCATCAGTCAGCCAATAAGTTCTGGCCTAAATTTGTGTCTCCTTTCAAAATGATTTCGAAAGCCCACAGCCCCTCAGCAGATTAAGGGGGAAGTCAGGAGCTCATTCTTTGTAAACCCTGCTGCACATCTGAGCTGGTCGTTAGTGAATTTCAAATAGCAGTTGCAGAAAGAAACCAGTGTAACCCAAGTTTTTCTGTGTCCCTGTTTTCACATTCCCCAGGAGAAACCTAAACTTCTTTTCCAAACCCTAAGGTGTCATTTAGATTGCTGTCAATGAAACTGTGCTCCCTGGAGATGATTTTACTCCGAATCTTTTTCATGTGTGTTTACAGAGGTGCCTGGGTCTGTGACTTTGGTTTTTGAAAACCTAACACCTGGCACAAGGAAATTCCTTAACAATCTCACCACATCTGTGTCCAGACATTGCTGATATCAAGAAAAGAGGTATGTTATGGTGCTTTGTTCTAGTTTCCTCATGTCAGTGAATCAAAGTAAAGATGGTAATGATAAAATAGCTAAGATAAATTGTGTGGTTAATAAGTGCCAGACCCTGTGCTAAACTCCTATAATCTCATTTAATAGTCTAAACTTCCCAGGAGTGACTTACCTAAAGCTTTGAGACCTTGCATAACTTGCCCAAGTTCCAATGACTGGTAAGGGGCAGAGCTCAGTGTAAGTTGCAGTCCAATTCCAAAGCCACTTCTCTTAAGTACTACATGTTTCTCTCCCCTAAAGTACCATCAGAAGGTTCTCAGCATCCTTAATAAGCCCTAACAAATGGGGACAAGTTTTTTCATAGCCCATTTTCCTTAATTTTTTAAGAAATAGGATCTTTGTTGCTCTTGTGAATTCATCTCAAGACATGGAATGTCAGGCATTGCTAATGGAAAGAAAAAAACCCACTAATAAATAAATAACCAAGTGAGTGTTGCTTTTGCTCTAAGTGCGTTTTTAAGACTTTTTTTAAACACCTAGAGGACACTTCAGTGGCCATAAACTGTGTAAAGAGTTAAGAATATTGAACCATACAGGAGTAATTGTTTTTATATGATATGGCATTCAGGGATGAATTTAGCAGCTAGAATAATTCTCCATTTGTAAAGGCATGTTTAAGGAAATAATGGCTTACCAACTGATAAGGAAAGGGAAAACAAAATGTCTATTCCCATTGCTGCTCTGTTCCAAGTACACAGCTGATTTGTTGTCCTCGGCTTCACTGTGTGAGGAAGGAGGAAGCATAAGAGCCAGAAAATTGGGGTATTTGAGGTCACAGGAACCTCACTCTACCATAGTTGGGCCATTTTCTTTCATCCACTCAAAGCTACTGCTTGACCACCTGCTATGTGCTTGGCTCGATACTGCACCCATAATATAACCTTGGTGAACAGCACAGAAACAGTTCCTGCCCTGAAGTCCTTATGATTACCCTTGGTGTCATTTCACTCCTAAAACTTAGACATGCGTGTATGAAACTGTTTCTCTACAATTCAATTTAATTTGCTTCTCAAATCTTCACATCCTTTTGTCAATAGGAAACAATCTTGCCAATTCAAGGTAAAACTCTCTTCCTTCTGGATTAAAACAGAGTCTCTTTTGGGTGAAGAATTGGTTCAAGTTTTCTTTCCTCTCCTTTCTCTCTCCCTTAGGAAGTATTTTGAGTTCCAGGGGACTCCAGGGGGAAGTGAGGTCTCATTCACAATGGTTTGCTGTCTACACGGGCCTTCAGTGGGTTGAACTTCACCTTAGTTTGTCCTCATCCTCAGGTTCTGGGCTTCGCTCCTGGTATGCATGCTTTCACAATGGTCTCTGGACTCTAGGAATAACTACTTGGAGTCTTCCTTATCCCAAATCCAGACCACTTAGAGTTAGCCCACTGTCTCTTAGGATTCCTCTATCCCGTGGGTCTAGAGATGTCTGTTATCTGTTTCCCCATCTTCCCTGAGAATGATAGTACCTCCTGGGGCCTCCCCCAGGCCCATCCACCTGTATCCCTTGCCCACCATTGCTACCTTTCTGTGAGGCTTTCTACATGGCTTTCTGCTTCTGTGGGTTATCCCTGAGAAAGCAAGACACAGGTTTCATCCACTCTGGAGTCCCCACACCCTGACTGAGGCAGGGATCATTTACTGGGGGGAGGGGATGCAGGACCCCCTTTTTGTCTTGATTTTTTTTCCCATTCCCCAAACTTCTCTTCAGCCCAGAAAGGACTTTCAATCTCCAACTGAGCAGTAAGGAAAACCAGCTCTTACATCATCATGAAATCTTTCAGAAATACTGTGTGTGGCGTAAACTTTATATGCTATTCTCTTCAGGACTCAACTTTTTGATGGTCAGGACGCCTTTTCTTAACTAGATAAATTGAACTTTGTCAAAACTAAAAATCTGTTCTCAAAAGATATTGTTGAAATAAAAGATGGACCACAGAGTAGAAGATATTCATGATACGCATATTTGACCAGGGTCTATCTGCAGAATCTATGAAAAACGCCTACAACTCAACAGTGCAAAGCCAAATGATCCAATTTTTTTAAATGGCCAAAAGCCTGGAATAGTAACTTGACAGAGAGGTTCTATGAATGGCCAATAAGCTCACAAAAAGATGATGAATGCCACTGGTCATCAGGTAAATACAGATTAAAATCACTATGAGATACCATTTCACATCCTTTAAAATGGCTAGAATCCAAAGTGCTGATAATCCCAAGTCAGGTAAGGGTGTAAACACCTAGAACTCTCACACAGTGATGGTAGGGGTATGAAATGGGTCAGCTACTTTGGAATATAGCTTGGCAATCTCTTAAAAATTAAGCATACTTCTACCCTATGACCCACCAATTGCTAGGTATTAACTTAAGAGAAATGAAAATACATATCCACAAAAATTCTTGTACAATAATGTTCATAGCAGCTTTATTCATAATAGCTAAAAACAGGAAAGTTCAGGGGGCACTTGGGTGGCTCATTCGGTTAAACCTTTGACTTGGCTCAGGTCTTGATCTCATGGTTCGTGGATTTGGGCCCCGCGTCAGGCTCTTTGCTGACAGCTCACGAGCCTGGAGCCTGCTTTGGATTCTGTGTCTCCCTCTCTGTCTGCCTCTCCCCCACTCGGGCTCTGTCTCCCTCTCTCAAAAATAAATAAAACATTAAGAAAGTAGGAAGTAATATTAATAAAAGTAGGAAAGTTCCAAGTATCCATCAACAGAGGACAGGATAAACAAACTGTGATGTATCCGTGCAATGGAACACATCTTTCAATAAACACAGCACGGTACAGCAAGTGTATTTCTTTTCCTTATGGTTTTCTTTTTTCAAAAAAATTTTCAATGTTTGTTTAATTTTGAGAGAGAGAGAGAGAGAGAGAGAGAGAGAGAGAGAGAGCGCAAGCGAGTGAGCAGGGGAGGAGCAGAGAGGAATCTAAAGCAGGCTCCAGGCTCTGAGCTGTCAGCACAGAGCCCGTTGTGGGGCTCAGATTCACGAACCATGAGATCATGACCTGAGCCGAAGTTGGATGCTTAACTGACTGAGCCACCCAGGTGCCCCTTCCTTATGATTTTCTTAATAATATTTTCTTTTCTCTGACCTTCTTTACTGTAAGAATACCATATATAATACCCATACAAAATATGTGTTCATCCACTGTTTATGTTATCAGTAAGCCTTCCAGTCAATAGGCTATTAGTAGTTAAGTGTTTGGGGAGTCAAAAGTTGCATGTAGATTTTTGTGTGGGGATTTGGCACCCCTAACCCCCACATTGTTCAAGGATCGACTGTAATTCCATCTATATAAAGCTCAAGCACAAACTATATTATTATAAGTCAGAAGAGTGGGTGGCTCTCCTTGGAGGCAGTAGGGAGACGCTGGACCAGAGACACCAGGGAACTTACTGAGTGAAAGAAATGTTCTCTTTGTTAAATGCAGTGCTGGCTACCCAAGTGTATACATTTTTCCGAACTTAAACTTTATACATTTTACTGTATGTAAACCCTGCATCACTTGATACAAAGAAGAAATAGGCTGCTGCTGCTTCTGCTTCTGCTTCTGCTACTGCTTCTCCTCCTCCTCCTCCTCCTCCTCCGCCTCCTCCCCCCCCCCCCCCCTCCTCCTCCCCTCCTCCTCCTCCTCCTCCTTCTCCCCTCCTCCTTCTCCCCTCCTCCTTCTCCTTCTCCCCTCCTCCTTCTCCTTCTCCCCTCCTCCTTCTCCTTCTCCCCTCCTCCTTCTCCTTCTCCCCTCCTCCTTCTCCTTC